TTGTTCAGGTCAGTGGGGTCCAGGGAGGGTTTTTTGAGTATGGGGGTGATGTGCGCGTGCTTTAGGGGGGAGGGGAATGCACCAGTAGAGAGGGAGAGATTGAAGATGTGGGTGAGGGAGCATAGGATGGAGGAGGAGGGTAACCGGAGGAGTTGTATGGGGACAGGGTCAAGGGGGCAAGTGGTGAGGCGGGCTTCTGAGAAGACCTTAGTGACCTCCTCAGTGGTAGCAAGGCTGAAGGAGCGGAGTGTTGGGGAGGTTATAGATGCTAGGTGTGGTGGGGGGCAGGGCGGTTGCGAGGTCAGAGAAGGGGAGAGTTGAGGGGGTTTTCATGGGAGGGAGGCTAGGTGGGGAGGTAGATTGAGCATTGGCGATGTCTTTACGGATTGCGTCGATCTTGTTTTGGAAACGATTGGCAATCTCGTGGGCGGTGAGTGAGGTACTGGGTGGAGGTGGGGGGGGGGGGGAGAGAGAGCAGGGAGTTGAAATTGGAGAAGAGCCGGCGAGGACAGGTGGAGAGGGTGTTGATGAGGGTTTACCTACAGCCAGGATATCAGGTGTTCCGATCATTGGTAAATTACAACAAAAGAAAGCGCACCAACCTTGCGCATTACCTCAGCAATACAAAGATTTTATTAAAATAAGATGTGTACTGACACACGTAGCAATATAAAAAGCATATGGTATCCAAGAGTAGATAACAGGAGATCAAGTAGCGTGCAAATCTCACAGACAGGGAGACACTCCTGAACAGCTGACGCGTTTCGAAGGGAAATCCCTTCTTCCTCAGAGCCAACAGGAAAGAGAATGACCTCGTCTATATACTGTATATATATATATATATATATATATATATACAGTGGGGATCGAAAGTTTGGGCACCCCAGCTAAAAAAATGTATTAATGTGTATAAAGAAGCCAAGGAAAGATGGAAAAATCTCCAAAAGGCATCAAATTACAGATTAGACATTCTTATAATATGTCAACAAAAGTTAGATTTTATTTCCATCATTTACACTTTCAAAATAACAGAAAACAAAAAAATGGCGTCTGCAAAAGTTTGGGCACCCTGCAGAATTTATAGCATGCACTGCCCCCTTTGCAAAGCTGAGACCTGCCAGTGTCATGGATTGTTCTCAATCATCGTCTGGGAAGACCAGGTTATGTCAATCTCAAAGGTTTTAAATGCCCAGACTCATCTGACCTTGCCCCAACAATCAGCACCATGGGTTCTTCTAAGCAATTGTCTAGAAAACTGAAACTGAAAATAGTTGACGCTCACAAAGCTGGAGAAGCCTATAAGAAGATAGCAAAGCGTTTTCAGATGTCAATATCCTCTGTTCGGAATGTAATTAAGAAATGGCAGTCATCAGGAACAGTGGAAGTTAAAGCAACATCTGGAAGACCAAGAAAAATATCAGACAGAACAGCTCGCAGGATTGTGAGAAAAAACAATTCAAAACCCACGTTTGACTGCACGATCCCTCCAGAAAGATCTGGCAGACACTGGAGTTGTGGTACACTATTCCACTATAAAGAGATACTTGTACAAATATGGTCTTCATGGAAGAGTCATCAGAAGAAACCCTCTTCTACATCCTCACCACAAAAATCATCGCTTGAACTTTGCAAATGAACATATAGACAAGCCTGATGCATTTTGGAAACAAGTTCTGTGGACCGATGAGGTTAAAATTGAACTTTTTGGCGGGAATGAGCAAAGGTACACTTGGAGAAGGGGCACAGAATTTAATGAAAAGAACCTCTGTCCAAGCATGGGGTTGGATCGATCATGCTTTGGGGTTGTGTTGCAGCCAGTGGCACAGGGAACATCTCAGGAGTAGAAGGAAAAATGAATTCAATAAAATTTCAGCAAATTTTGGATGGTAACTTGATGCCATCTGTGAAAAAGCTGAAGTTAAAGAGAGGATGGCTTCTACAAATGGATAATGATCCTAAACACACCTCGAAATCCACGGGGGATTACATCAAGAGGCGTAAACTGAAGGTTTTGCCATGGCCTTCACAATCTCCTGACCTCAACATAATTGAAAATCTATGGATAGACCTTAAAAGAGCAGTGCGTGACAGACAGCCCAGAAATCTCAAAGAACTGGAAGACTTTTGTAAAGAAGAATAGGCAAAGATACCTCAAACAAGAATTGAAAGACTCTTGCTGGCTACAAAAAGCATTTACAAGCTGTGATACTTGCCAAAGCGGGCAGTACAAGATATTAACTCTGCAGGGTGCCCAAACTTTTGCAGACGCCATTTTTTTGTTTTCTGTTATTTTGAAAGTGTAAATGATGGAAATAAAATCTAACTTTTGTTGACATATTATAAGAATGTCTAATCTGTAATTTGATGCCTTTTGGAGATTTTTTCCATCTTTCCTTGGCTTCTTTATGCACATTAATACAAATTTTTAGCTGGGGTGCCCAAACTTTCAATCCCCACTGTATATATATATGAGACATTTAGGTGAGACATTTGTACAGACCCTCCCATAGGGGCTGGATGTGTCAAAACAAGAGGGCGGGGTATTGGTGTCAGGATAAACAAACTTAGAGATAACCGAGTGGGATTCAGGTCACAATTAAAATTGAAAATTAGAGATTTAGATAAATAAGTAAAAATCAATAGGAATGATAGTAATAGTAATTCCAATTAGGATAAAAAGTATAAAGAATAAAAGTATAAAAATATAAATGTATAATTCCGATCATTGGTGGCTGCTCACCGTGTACAACTAAATGACAGGCTGAAAAGAGCCAGGGCTGTCCACGGATGGAAGCATGTTTATGCATGTATATGCACATCCAGTGGTTAGAGGCAGATGTTTTCCCCTGGACACAACCATTCTGCTTCTAGGTGTGTGAACAAGGTCTGAGACCTCCCCTTTATAGACTAGAAAAAGTGAGTTTCATGAGTATTCTGTATTGTTATATCTTTCTGGGCACCAGAAGATCAGTAATGTTACAAACTCTGGCCATATAGCATACTCACTATAAAATTGCAGACATCAAATAACCTCCTTCTGTGAAGAAACAAAAGAGTTAATGGGGTCTCTGTGTCTTCAACACTCAAAAACATGCCAAAAAATGTAAGGCCACCTTCATCTCATTGTTTTACAGCTGTCAGTGCTGGAGATATACAGGGAGTAGGACTTTTAGCTCCCACATAGTACCTTTGTTCTTAAAGTTATCACAATTTGATTGGGTTTTAGAGTTTGGAGGCTTCAAAGAGCTTTGGGAAGAAGCAGCTTTCAACCCAGTGTCCAGGTCTTACGGGGGACCAGCAGACTGTGTGTGCTGATGGATGCATGCGGCCTTTACAAGCATAGGTGTGGGTATAGATCAGAGCTACCTTTAGGAGACAGGTCTGCTTCTTTGAAGGGACAGGTGTAATTCACCCAAAAGCCAGAAGTTCTCAGGCTAGGAGACAAGAGAACTTTATGCTGGTGCCAAGAGATTCTCCTATTGAGAAACCAAGGCATGGGCCTGTACAGTAAGGAGCTGTGGAGTGATATGCAGAGGATGCAAGTAAGAGGTCCATGGACTGAGTTGGAGCAAAGTAGGTACTGAGAAACAGCCCAATCCATAGGTCTGACGTTGAGGCCTGAGCAGCAGTGCTGCAGAAAAGAGCCAGAAGGCTAATAATCATTTATTTTCATGTTTGTACTGATGGTTGCAACTCCTGCGTCGGCAATCGTTTCTTTAGCTGAACTTTAAGTTTAAATAAAAGTGGGCCAACAAGCAATGAAACACAGTTCTGACTATTGTGGACTCACTGGAAAATGCAACTGCCACTGAATTAGATTCCAACATATTACTACATACAGTATATACTCAGTAAGCTTTGCTCGGGCTCTCCCGTCCCACTGGGATCGGCTTTGATTGGCTCTTACTATGGTAACCCTGAAGTGGTAACCTGTAATCACTTTCCAGTTTACCCAGATGTCAACAGCTTCATTTTTAAAAACCCTAGATCCCTCCAAAAATAGTCACATGCCCCATTACTGTCGCAAGGATGTTTGCATTCCTTGTGACAGCTATAAAAGTGATAAGAAAAAATTTAAAGCAAAAAAAAAAAATGAAAGTGCTCACTTTCCCACACGCAAAAGCACGTGTCAGTCCCCCACACACATGCAAACAGCAATAGTTAGCTCATGGGCAGTAATTCTAGCACCAGACTCCCTCTGTAAATCTTAAGTGCTAACCTTTAAAAGCTTTTAAAGCATCGCCTATGGATAGTAAAATGTACACAATTTTAAAGCATGACATGTTTGGTATCTATTTATTCAGTATAGCATCATCTTTTATATATTACATAAAAATTGGGTTATGTATTGTGTTTTTTTGCTATAAAATTTCTTAAGTGAATTTTTTTTCCAAAAAAATTGCGTTTGAAAAATTATTCTCTAGATCCTCTGCTTTAAAAAAAATGTTTGGGGGTAATAGATAATTTTCTAGCAAAAACTGATTGTTACATGTGAAAAAAAAAAAGGGCCAGAAAAAGCCTGGTCCTTAAAATGGAGCTCCAGTCAAAACGTAAAAAAATAAAAGTCAGCAGCTACAAAATCTGTAGCTGCTGACTTTTAAAAAACAGATGCTCAGCTGTCCCTCGATCCAGCAGTATCCTCACCGCAGCTGTCCTATCTCCCCGGAGGCATCCTAAGTATGGGCACCCAGCTGTGACAGCTTGTGGCTTCATAGCCAGATGTCCACTGCGCATGCACGAGTAGCGTTGTGAATGGTCCCGTAGTCTTCTGGGACCTGTCACGTGTCCCAGAAGACTACGGGAGGGGGAGGGAGGACAACCTCTGCTTAGATTTGGCTAGGTGATCGCAGTGGGAGCGGCTGCCTATGCCTAAAAATCTGGTATCCATCCCCCCTACCCGCTCGCCAAAGGTGCCAATCCTTAACACGGAGCTGGGGATGAGGTTTTAAAGCGGAGTTTCCCCTTTTGGAGCTCCACTTGAAAGTGTTACTAAAACCAAGGACCCTGCATTCACTATATCTCTTCTCCCACAGTACACACAACATGGATATGAAATTATTTTAGTAAATATAAACTGCTAAATACCTTTTCTCACCAGCAGTATATAGCAGTTCTGTGACTTCTATCAGTGTCCAGCTGAGCGCTGGTTAATCTTGTAGGAGGCGGTTTCATTCTGCTCTAACTGTCCTATCAGGTTGCATAACCCCTGACCCTCTGTCTAAACAGTGCTGATTGGCCGTGATCACATGTACCCTTCCAAAGAAAAAAAACTGTCTAGTCATGCATACTACACTGAGCATGTGCAGACTGATTCCTAGAGCTCTGTGCTATCAGCAGATGGATTGGGGATGGTAGAATAAGGGGATGATCAGAGAAGACAGGATCAAACAGTCGTTTTACATAATGTAAAGGATTAACCCTTTCGGCTCCATAGTGAGAATAACAAGCATGCTTTACTGCATATACAGACTGGTTTTACTGTTGTGGATTTAGTAACTTTAAGTGGATAATTGGAAATTAGTGGAAATTCAAGATGAAAATGCTGATAATAAGAGAAGGTACGTGGAAATGTATACATGAAGTCAGGCCAGAACACCCTTCAGGTGAATGGATACAGAAAGACCAGAAAGCTCAGAGCACAATCTCTCTTAGCATAGAAGATAATCAAATATTAAAATTTCATCATGACAGCAAGTTAGAAGTTTCACGCAAACATGAAATTTTGCGTGAAACTGGGCAAATCGCTGGAGCTCTGAAATATCAAATTGGGGACCTTTAAGCTGCATCTTTATCTTTAGGAAGAGGGCATTTTCGTCTTCCTGATCTCTTCTCATTTTCCAGTGATGTTCTTCTGCTTTTGAAGCGCACGTGTCACTCAAAACACCTCGAACAACTCATTGCAGCATCGCCATAAACTTGCTGAATTATGTCAAACAACTCTGTGGCAGATTTGCCCAGTTTCACACAGAATTTAAATTTTGCTCTTTGTTCTAACTTGCTGTCCATGATGAAATTGCAGATGTGGTAATGCACGTAGTCAGAATAGCGCCAGTTGCACAGCTCCCGATGTTACAAAGAATGATTTTTTGGCACACTTTCTTATGAAGGTCAGTGCTTCCTGTGTGTGCCGATGTGACAGCGTGAGAAAAATGCAGCCGATAACACTGTTCAACAAATTTTTATTTTTTGCCAGTTTTGGAAACAAAAGGATCCATTTCTTAATGAATTTCACATTCTGAGTTCAAATATAACAATGAAATTTGTCAATTGGCTCTAGTTTTTCTGTAAAGGAAAGTTTTCTACTATAGGCGTAATGACTACATAATGCACAATAATTATATAGATAGATGTCTTTTCACAAATATAAAGCAAGTGATATTGACTACATAACAAAGCCTAAATGGCATAATATATTGCATAGGATTACCAAGAAAAATTATAGCCATAAGCTAAGTTGAATCATTTTAATACTTAGGATTCTCACTAGTTTTGTCTTCAGTTTGTGTCGGTTTTGCTTCTCTTGGCTTTTCTCTTGTATTCGAGGAAAGGGCTATCTCTTACAACTGCACGTGGACTACACTTGACTCAACCACGAAGGATTCTGGTGCTTTAGGAATTGGTAGCCCCTCTCCATGAGGAACTGGACGTATTGCCGATGGAATATTTGGATAGTGCACAGATAACTTTTTTTTCTTATTTAGCCCTTTTACAATTGGAGGCACCATACAAAAGTAACAATTACTAACATGATCTGTTGGCTCTCTCAAAATCATTGGCACAGCGAAAGGCATAGATGCCTTTTTTCCATTCAACCATTGCTCCAGTGCTGTCCCACAAGAATTGCAGCATATATGTGGTGCCCAGCTCTTGTCCTGGTCTCCTATCTTGCAGCCAAAATACAAGTTGTAGGCTTTCTTAATCATTCCTGTTATCCTCCTTTTTTGTGAGATAAATGTTATTTCACCGCAGATATAGCAGAAATTATCTGCTTTATTCACACAAGTTCGAGGCATTACTGAGTAGCTATATAAGCATAAAACGAAATGTAAAGATGCTGTTGAACTACAGTCAGCTACAGATACTGCAGCTTTTATGCAGTGAAGTGATGCAATTAAAGGCTAATATTGCATCATCTCAGTATACATGCAATTTTCTATTGGTCACCAGTATCAATTGCGCAATATGCAGCTGAAGTTGCATCATAATTTTGAATGGCTTACGTCATTAGATGGGTGAATATATCATGGAAACTAGAGCCAATCAACATTTTTTAGGGTCATTTTTGTTTTCAGCACCCCAAAATTATGTAAGATTAGCTAATTTTATGCCCAAACTTTTTACCTGTTGAACAGTGTAACCGGCAACTGTATTTACCCGGTGATCTGCTGTGTCATTGGACACAGCTGATCATGTAGTAAAAGGCCGCTGTGATTGGTCTTTTACCACATTACGTGATCAGCTCTGTCCGTAGGACAGAGCGATCATGGAGCGTGGGCGGGAGCGTTCTGGGAGGACGTCATATGATGCCCTCCCAGAACTGGACAACCGTGCTGTAGCCGTCATTCGCTATAGCACGGTCGCCAAGTGGTTAAAAGCAGACTGCAGAATCTGGAAAGCTAGAACACAAAAAACAAACTAAACTACAAAAGGCCCAAAGTGTAAAAGAAGAAACTGATTTTTCTTCAGATAACAAAATGTCACATGACAAATGACAGAAATTTATTCACCTTGACCAGAGTAAAACAAAAAATCACCCACAGCTAATGGGCAAATAATGGAATCAGAAGGCATAGGAGATAAGTTTTCTTTACTGTCCTATTTCTCAGAGTGTCACAGGAAAATAAAAAAATGTGACATTGCCTTGTTTTGTTCACTGACAAAAGATTAGTTTCAAGAGCAGGGACATACAGGACATTTTTTACAGGTTATTTTCCTGGCGGCACTCTGACTTTCCAAGATGACAGTTGTGCCATCACAAAAGGGATATATCTCACTTGCAAAGGCCAACAAAGAAAAACATTCAAACTACATTTACACATGGCACAGATGACTTGGGCCTGACATAATAAATTAGCTGAGAATGACTATACAAGTGGAATAAAAATTAGTCCTTGTGATAAAAAATGAAATGCACCAGCTGCATAAAAGGAAAAATGACAAGAAAAGCCTTTTCAACAGCAGAGCTAAAAAAAAACCTCTGGACTAATTCATTTCAGATCTTTGGGTCCAATGGAAAATTGCCTCCCAAGAAAGGAGAGGTATTTTCCCACTTTTATAGATGATTACTCCAGGTATACTACACTATATCTGTTACACACAACAAAAGTGAAGTACCAGAGAAACTTAAACAGTATTTGGCTCAAGAAAGAAACAAATTTGGCAAAATGCCGAGTGTATTGTGCACAGACAATGGAACTGAATAATACACAGGTGATTCTCTGAAAGCTTGGTATATTATTTCAAACTACTTTACCATACAGCTGAGAACAACATGGGGTTGCAGAAAGAATGAACCGTACTCTATGTCAGAGTGGAAGCAGAAACCATTCTATTTGATATAGATATGCTAACCACATACTGGGGGGGGATGCATTTATGACTGCATGCTATCCCAAAATTTACTACCAGGAAAACTCCATATGAACTGTGGAATGGAAAAGCCGCAATATTGAATCATTTAAAAATTTTCAGAAGCAAAGCTTATGTGCACTCCCAAAAGAAAAACGTACAAAATGGGATGCTTGAGCAAAGGAAGGTGTAATTGTTGATGAAACTTCCATGTGTTCAAAACTAACTAATACAAACTCTTCAAAAAGAGGGAATTCCATATCAGTGTCACATGAAGATAAGCAACAAAGAGAAACAGAAATAGATATTAACAAAGACATTTCAAATACCATAAAAGGGGAAACTAGGCCACAAGAAGCTTCAATTTGGAAATCCAGCAGAATCAATAAAGGCATCCTAGCCAAATGTTTGTCCTATGTTGTTTACGTAGCATTAAAACCAAAGCCAGATTTATGGGATGAGATGCAAAGACTTCCAAAAACAGAAACAAAAGTTAATAAGAGCTGCTGATGAAGAGATGACATCTCTTAGTGAACTGAAACAGATTTATAGAACTGAGATCCATGATGGGACTAATATATGGAGTGGGAGTGTTTAGAATACATTGTTCATCTATTTTATACAACAAATACATTAACAAGTAAATGGCAGTGTTTAGAAGTTTGTAGCTGCATCTATGATAGAATTTTGAATCTTCTTCCTGAATAAAAGTTCATGTTTCCTGTTTGTAGAGAAGCAGCAGATAAACACATGTGGACTGTGCACTGTCTGTTCTGTAGGGCTATGTACAGAATCTCTAACACATAAGCTCCTGAATGTATGTACTGTATATTGCAATCAACAGCAGGTTTGAAGGTTTAAAGGATAAGTTCACCTTCGGAACATGTTACATGTTCCACCAGTTTTTTAAGGGTGGAACAAAATAACATGTTCCTATAGCTCAGTGTTTCTCAACTCCAGTCCTCATGGACCCCCAACAGGTCATGTTTTCAGGATTTCCATTATTTTGCACAGGTGATTTGATCAGTTTCACTGCCTTAGTAATTACCACAGCTGTTTCATCTGAGGGAAATCCTGAAAAACATGACCTGTTGGGGGTCCATGAGGACTGGAGTTGAGAAACACTGCTATAGCTGAAGCCGCCGCCTCTGACACATAGTATAGGGAGGAGTCTCCTCATACTATCTGTCAGATTTGAAAACAACTCTGCGGGGCTCCACCCACACTGGTGCGTCACTCATTCACAGAGTTCTGTGAATGAAGGTCTACAAGTCCCGGAAGCCTTAGCGGCTGTCGGCTTGTAGTTTTCAATGAACTACCACTGCACTGTGGAGTGCCATGGTGGTTCATTGAAGCTTCCTGTCAGAAAATCTGCTTGGCCATACATCATGTACGGCAAGCAGAAACTGACAGGCCTTCAGGAGACCTGCATGGCATCACCGATCTACTGATCACTGGTGCAATGATTTAGAGGCTCCTTTGGACAAAAATAATAACTGCACATATTTTTACTTGCAAAAACAAATGTGCATTTGTTATTTTTGTCCAAAAGGTGAACTTATCCTTTAAAAGAGACATTGTCACTTTGCCTCTTTAGGTTTGCTAGCCTCTAA